AATGAAAACACATCTGGACAGTGATTAATAGGGATATGGTATATATTGTCGTATGGCTGAGCAACAACTCTTTTCCAGAAGAAAATAAATGGGATCAAACTAACTGGCCTTGGCTCATGGCTTCAGATCAGCTAAATTTACAGCTGGTTTCAGATTCTATAGTACAAAGACATGACAGGGGCCTCACCGATCAACTACTACAAACCCCTCATTTTACAAACAAGGAAAATGAAACAACCGCCCAAGTTCATACAGGTAACATCTGGCAAGACTAGACTCATACCAAGAGAATTTGATAGATTTTAAAAGAGTTCAGAATAATATGAAATTCAGTAAAGTGTATCCAATAAGTGCACTATCTTCATCATGAAGCCTTTCTTTATCCCCTCATTGCCCTTCTCCCACACTACCTTGTTTTAACTGCTTTGAATATATATTTATATTTATCCACTTTATGTTTATGCTATATATACGTGTGTGTGTGTGTGTGTGTGTGTGTGTGTGTGTACATATATTGTTGCCTCTCCTATTAGAATGTATGCCCCTCGCTTACAGAGGTTGTTTCATTCTTATCCCCAATACCTAAGAAGACTACCTGGCACACAGTAAGCACTTAACACTTGTTGACTCACTAATTACACATATGGAAGCCAAATGAACAGCAAAAACTATGCTAAAGTCCACAAGGTAGCAACAATAATAATGTAAAAGCACTGGTTGTGAGAAAAGAGGATCTGGGTTCAAAAGCTGCCTGTATAACCTTGGACAAGTGCTCCTTGGGCCTCAGTTTCTTCATCTGTAAAATAAAAAGGTAGGAGTAGACGTCCTCTAAGCTTCCAGCTCTGGGTTTATGATCCTATTACATGAAACACGAGCAAAGTAATAAGAATCTGCAAGATCAAATGCAAGAGGTCAATAAGATGACAGAAGCCAAACAGTGCACATGGTGACTTAGAGCAAAGGCAAGGTGAAGAAGACAGACTAATACTGAATCGGAAGGACACTAAAGGATTTTCTAAAGAGTGGGCATACCCACCACAAAAATATATGCATCAAGAGAACTTGAGATCTGGCAATGAGTCCCAATGTAGTGGGACACATAAAAATGCAAAGTGGACTAGAATGTATAATAACTAGAAGAGTACTTCAGAACCATTAAATAACTCTACAATTGGTTAATTCTTTATTGAATGGTCTGTAACTAGATAGATACAGATACATAACAAAAATTAGGAGTAACTAGTATACAACCTTCAGGCTCTATTAGTATCAAAGCAATGTCAAGAGATCTAAAGAAAAGGCCCTGGGATTATAGAGAAATCCACTGTGGACCAGCTATGACTGAACACAAGTCACACACGTGAAAAAATGTGAATGAATTTCTATTTACTACTGAATGAAATACCCACCATCAATAAAATGACAGACTCATCAAAGTATCTAAATATAGGATTATATTCAGTTGAGGTTTCTTTAACATAAGAACCAAGCCCAGATGTCATTTCGGAAAGAGCAATGTTGAAAAATAAGAGCTACAAGAAAGGCAAAACAAAATTAGGATCTTTAGGACTGGAGAAGGCAAACTGGCCAACTTAATAATAATAGACTTTAAGTAACTAAAGAATTGTCCCATAAAAAACAGGCTCCTTGCTATTTTCCATCTAAAGAACAAATTTAAACTATATCTGCAAAAAAAATTTCTAACACCGAGTAGAGAACATTATTATAATAAGCTCCCAAGTAAAGTGTACCAAATTTACTTTCTGTAATTATTACAACTGAGACAGACCTTGTTTAAATTTGGCCTTTCCTAAAGGCAAATAGATAACCTTACAAGGCATCTCCAGCATATATCAAAGATTTTCTTCTTCCATCTTGGCAAAAGAATAAGCAGGCCAGAAAAGGGGGGCAGAGAGAAACATATTCTTTTTTTTTTTCTTAATTATTTTTTTCCAATTACATGGAAAACATTTTTAGCATTCAGTTTTTAAAATTTTGAGTTCCCAATTCTATTCCTCCCTCTTCTCCTCCCCTCATTGAGAAGGTAAGCAATTTGATATAGGTTACACATGTATAGTCCTGCAAAATATATTTTCATATTAGTCATGCTGTGAAAGAAAACACAACCCTTCCCCTCCAAAAAAACCAAAGTTTTTTAAAAATGCTTCACTCTGTTTTCAGACTCCATCAGTTCTTTCTCTAGAGGAGGATAGCATTTTTCATCATGAGTCCTTCGGAATTGTCTTGGATCATTGTATTGCTGAAAATAGCTAAGTCATTCATACTCGATCATCATACAGTACTGCTGTTAGTGGTACACGGTGTACACTGTTCTCCTGGTTCTGCTTACCTCACTTCACATCAGTTCACCAGGTTTCCCTGAAAGCATCCTTCTTATCACTTCTTAAAGCACGATATTATTATTCCATCAAAATCACATACTACAATTCCCCAATTGATGGACATCCCCTAAACAATTCTCTGCTATCACAAAAAGAACTGGTATAAATATTTTTGTGCAAATAGGTTCTTTTCCTTTTTTAAAAAAAACTTTTTGGGATACAAACTTAGTAGTGGTATTGCTGGGTCAAAGTATATGCATGGTTTTGTAGGCCTTTGCACTTAGTTCCAAACTGCGCTCCAGAATGGTTGGATCGGTTCACAACTCCACCAAGAGTGCTTTAGTGTGCCTATTTTCCCACATCCCCCCAACATCTGTCATTTTCCTTTTCTGTCATATTAGTCAATCTGATAGGTATGAGGTGGTACTTCAGGGCTTTTTAAATGTCTTTCTCTAATCAAAAGCAATTAGTAACATTTTTTTCATATGACTATAGATAGCTTTGATTTCATCTGAAAACTGCCTACACGTATCCTATGACCATTTATCAATATTCCAAGCCCTACGATCCTTTATTGTAGAAGCTGCTAAATCTTGTGTTATCTTGACTGTGGCTCCACAATATTTTCTCCTTGACCTGGGAACTCTGGAATTTGGCTATAATATTCCTGGGAGTTTTCATTTTGGGATCTCTTCCAAGGAGGTAATTGGTGGATTCTTTCCATTTCTATTTTATCCTCTGGTTCTGGGATATCAGGGCAGTTTTCCTTGATAATTTCTTGAAAGATGATGTCAAGGCTCTTTTTGATCATGGCTTTCAGATGGTCTTATAATTATTAAATTATATCTCTCCTGGATCTATTTTCTAGATCAGTTGTTTTCCAATGAGACATTTCACATTTTCTTCTATTCATTCTTTTGATTTTGTTTTATTGTTTCTTGATGTCTCATGAAGTCATTAGCTTCTACTTGTCCAAATCTAATTTTTAAGGAACATTTTCTTCAGTGAGCCTTTGTATCTTCTTTTCCATTTAGTCAATTCTACTTTTTAAGGAGTTCTTTTCTGCAGTGAATTTTTGAGCATCTTTTTCCATTTGGTCAATTCAGCTTTTTAAGGAGTTCTACTCTTCAGTGAATTTCTGTACAACTTTTACATTTGGCCAATTCTGCTTTTTAGGCAGTTCTTGAAATATATTCGTTCTTGCATGCTTCCCTCTCAATACAAAGGTGGGACAGGGAGAAGCAAAATAAGGATGATAAACCAATGGGATCTAGAGTTGGAATGGTCCTCTGAGATATAAACTAGTTCAATTCTCACTTCAAGGAACTAGATGGGGTTTTGTACATCAGCTACTACAAGCCGTTTATTTTTTCATTTTATAACTTCACGTCATGACTGCTGAAACTAACTTTCAGATATCAGCAAATAGCTTTAAAACTGTCAGAGAAATTTTAGAACATGATCAGTGATTCTCTTTAATAAAAGTTAAATGTAAGATCTTCAGTAAGTTGTACTGAAATTTAAAGTACTTGCTTTAAAACTGTTAATCATGATTCTTTTAAAAAATACAACAACAGTTCATTACCAACATGGAATGGATATAGTACATGGGTTCAGATCCTACCTATGCATTAGCTATATTATTCTATACAAGTCCCTTCAACTCTCTGTCTCTTAGTTTTCTCATCTGTAAAAATGCAGGGACTGGACACAATGACCTCTAAGATCCCTTCCAGCTCTAAAGCTATAATACTATGTGATCTTTGGCATTTTTTTAATTAGTAATTTCATCAGTAGACAGAACTCTTAGTGAAGAATTCCCTCTTCCAATATAGATCTGTATCTGCTCTTCAACTTAATAGTCTTAGAGACTTGCTTGGTTAATAATAAAAACAACAAAAACACTGATACAGAGTTTTACAGTTTGCAAAGTGTTTTACGATACTTTCTTATTTGATCATCACACACCCTGGAAGGAAGGTATTATTTGTTATTTCCATTTTACAAATGAGGAAACTAAGGCAGACAAAAATTAAGTAACCTGCCATAGCTAGTAAGTATATGAGGCCAAATTTGAACCTGGGTCTTTCTGACTCCAGGTTCACACTCTATCTACTATGCCACCAGCAGCAAGCAATTTGACCAGAGCTACACTTCACAGTATATGTTACAATCCAAACTTGAACACAGATCTTCTTGACTCCAAAGACAGCTCTCTATTCACTAGGCAACACTGACTCTCCACATCATCAATTCCACAGACCAGCAAATTAATTACAGGCAAAGTAAGACTGCTTCAGGAGCAGAGTAAAGAATGTGGTCGCTCAAAAAAGATCAATATTTTTAAATATGACAATTTTTCCATTTTATCTGGAAAAAGGAAATGAAATTAATGTGACAATCTACATTGTTACTCTGAATGACTAAATATGTAACTACATTCTATAGCTATTTTTCAATGTACCAGTGAGAGTAATTATTTCCAATTAAAGGTTAAATTAACTGTTTTCAGTGAATAATCTACATTCATGCCCAACAGAATTAAATCTATAGTGTTGATTACACTACATATAACTATTAAATCAGTTTGTGTGTTAAGATACCAACTACAGACAAACACAAAAGGCCAAGTGTAATAATGTTCCATCACATACTTACAGTTCTTTATGTTTCTCCTCTGCCAAAATTTGGTCATTGGGTTTTAGACCATACCTATAAAAGATATAAAAAATAAATAAATACTAGTCACAGACATGCACAAATATATTTAACAGCCTAGCCAATGAATGAGCCTTTGAATAAAAATCATAGGATTTTACAAATCTCACTGTAGGACCTAGACAAGTCAGTTATCCTCCAACCAATTTTTTAAGTCATATTTAGCTGTCCCTCGTCTAACAAAATTCCTGAGGCACACTCTACCTGACCTCTTCCACTGCTACAAGGACATACGTGAGCCTCCTTGCCTATATATCATGGACATTTTATACCAGCAGAGATTAAGGTAGGTGTTGGATACCATGAACACCAAATGACCCCCAAAAAACGGATTCTTTTTAATCCACAGGAAACACAGGACTATTACTAATGTGGGAGCCATTTCTGAATCATCTGTCTATGCACAGTCAGGCCACCAACCGGTTACAGCAAAACTTAAAATTAACACAGCACAGAACTAAAGCAATTTCAACTACTTTAAAAAGCTATTGGGGCTGAAAAATGGAAAATGGGTTTTTAAAAAAAAAATACACTGATATAGGCCTATTATCTCCCTTCACAGAGAGCCAAACTGGCTTATAGTTCTTCATGCACGAATTATGAATCTAGTCAGTCAGTCATATGAGTCAATAAACATTTCTCAAGCACCTACTATGTTCCACCTTCACGTTTCTACGTAGGTTGTCCACCAAAACTGGCACACAATCCCTCTTCACCTAGACCTCTCAGAAATTCCAGTCTTTCAAAGCTTAAATCAATTGCCACTTCTTTTAGAAGCCTATAATGATCCCCTCCTCTGACCCTAGCTACTAGTGAACATCTCCCTGGAAATTAATTTCTATATAACTTTATTTTATTTTTTATTGCAAAAAGTACTGCTATAGTTTGGGGGGTTTTTTTAGGGGGGGGATAATATTTGTTTGTATTTATAAAGTGCCTACTATGTGCCAAGCACTTTATAAATATTAACTCATCTGATCCTCACAACAATTCGTGATAGATGCTTCTACAATCCGGATTTTGCAGATGAGAAAACTGAGCAAACAGAGATTTAAGTGACTTGCCCAAGGCCACAGAACTATAAGTGTCTGAGGCCGCATTTGAACTCAGGTCTTTCTGACTCCAAGGCCAGCACTGCATTAAACAGGCCACCTACAGGAATGTTTCTTCTTTCTTTTATTTTCTTGAGGTACAAGCCTAGTAGTGGGATAAAAAATAATCAAGAGATGTTCACAATTTAATAACGTATAATTCTAAATTGTTTTCCAGAACGAGTGGACCAAGTCACAATTTGAACTGCAGTACAGGAGTACGCCCGTCTTCCCAAAGCCCTTCCAACAGTTACCATTTCCTCTTGTCATCTTCACCAACCTGACATGTATGAGGTGAAACTTCAGGTTGCTTTAATTTGCATCTCTTTTTATTAGTGATTTGGAGTACTTTTTTGATACAGCTATTGATAGCTTGCGTTTCTTCTATTCATTTTCTTTGACCACTTATCTCCAGGAAAATGGTTCTTGTTCTTCTATACATGTAGCAATTAACTCCTCACTGCCTTGTTCTGACATCTGATTTATATTTCCTCTTCACAAAAGGGGTGGGGGGTGGGGGAGGTGGAGGGGTGTAAAGCTGAATAAGCTAATTATTTTTTTAAACTTGCAAGAGGTTCCATTTTTAAAATCCCAAACATACTAATCAAATCCCTAAGCAAGTATTAAGCACCTGTGTGCTAGGCTTAATGCTAGACAATGAGGATACAAAAATGAAACTAGTTCTTGACCTCAAGGGGAGACAAGAGAAATATATTTGTGGGTATATATGTATGTACATGAATGTGTATGTGCATATATATACATATATACACATATATACACACACACACATATACACACACACACACACACACACATAAAACACATATATACGTTTTACATACATATACATAAAAATATATGAGGCAACATGACAAAGAGTTTGGAAACTGACGTTGAAACTGGGAAGACCTGTGTGACCCTGGGCATGCAAAATAACTTTTCAGTGCTCCAGGCAGCTAAGACTATAAATTGCAGAAAACAGCACCCTGCAGGCATTGGTAGAGGGAGTTTCCTCATCTGGGAGTTCACTATCCAGTCTTTATCTCTATAAAAATATATACAAGGCATCAAGATGGGATGGGGGGGAGAGAAAGAAAGATAGGGGACTAGCAACTGGGTAATCATGTAGATGATGATACTTAAACTGAGCTTTGAAGGAAACTAGGGATTCTAAGGGGTGGGCAAGGTGAGGAGGGAATGTATGAGAGAGAGCTTGTGTACAGGCATGGAGAGAAGAAAACACCACATATGACAAATTCTGAGGTAATAGAGAGTGACCAAAACTTATAATATCAAACATTGAGTGTGTAACATTATTAGCTATAAACATGATGAAGTCTTTCAGAATTTAGTGGTAACTGTGGCAATAATTACAGCACCAAATTAAAACAGATTCTTTTATGAAGTATGTAAATATCAAAGATCAAGTCAAGTGAACATAAATCCCAATGTGCTCAATCCAAAAGTACAAATTATATGAGTCTGGAGCTTAGCACTAACCACTTGTTACTCTACCCCCACTGTGACCTAGAGATAAAAGTCACTTCATCTCTCCCAATCTCAGCTGCAAAATGAGAGGTTGGAATGATGACTGCCAAGGTGTTTCATAATCTAAATTCTACAGTCCTGTGAAGGCATGAATAAATACCTAAATGGTAATGAATTATGGGGGTGGGAAAAACATATCAAGCCATAAAAACTTGCTGAAAGGAAGGTGCATATTAAAGTAATTATCACAGCATCCACCAAATCAATGGGGTCAAAGACACACTGCAGGATTTTCTTTGACCAACATGGGCACCAAGCCAGATAATGATGACTGTGGTTTTATGTGACCTTCCCTTGCCCTACCAGAGCAAATAACAACTGCTTTGTTTTCTGGGACTTCCAAGGTAGTCTATCAAAATGAAAACTTAAGTACTTTAAGTACTGAGCGCCTACTGACCACGTAGGTTTTGTCAGGAGCTGGCCACTCCAGGGAAGAGGTAACTAGGAATGAATGTGTATGTGAATTACAACAGATGAAGCTTTGCGCTCAACAACTCATTGAAAATCAACCTATCACACAGCAATGAGCTAGAGATTAGAAAGGCAAAGATAAAAATGAAACCGTGTCTTCTTTTTAGGAAATTACATTCTACAAGAAGAACAACATATAAGGTGAGAAGAGACTGTTTCATCTTTGTCTTTGTCTCTCCACTGTGTCTAGCACATAGCAGATGCTTAATGAATGCTTGCTAAACGACTGACATATAAATGTAAAGTATCTTTTGTTTTAAAACAAAGCTGACAGAAAAGGCATAGGCATCAGCAACTACCAAACCATGTGCCTACTTTCATATCTCTATCAATAACTGTTATATGAATGAGCTATGAAGTATAAAGTATACCACTTACGAAAAAATGAGAGAGGTTGGGACAGGCCTTCACTCAAACAAGTTCTGGCAGAATGAAAGAATCCAAATTAATATAGAATGCTAATGAGTTAACAAATGTAAAGCACTCTGCAAATCCTAAAGCAATGCAAGCTAATTAATGTAATATAATATAAAAAATTAAGTGTGGTACAACTTGTTTTCAAGTTCTAAGAGTTCAGAATTCTCATGGAAAGAACATAAACATCCTGAAGAGCAATCCTTCAATAATTAAGGACTGCTCCAAACTAATCATATAATCATATTAGCTGACATTTAAATTCTGCAAACTGATCTCTCAGAAGTTAATACTACAGCCAAGACTGGAATCCTAACTTCAGCATTCTTTTCATTATATTAGCCTTACTCCTAAATTTTGAAAAAAAAAAATCAATCAACAAAATTCATGTACTTATTATTCATATTTCAGACATTACACTTTATAGGAGCAGGTAGGAGTCAATCCGTGAAAAATACTCTTGTGATCCATTGAGAGTAATTAGTAAATTTATTAATCCTGGTCTTACAATTGTTTGTATTATTTAAATCGGAAGCACAAGCTCATTAGGGCTATTAAGTAGCCATAAGCAGATGGCTAAGTGTTTGAATTTCTACAATAAGATTACAAGTTTCACCAAGATTTTCAAGTGCTCCAATTTGTAATAAAGCATTAAAGTAATGAATCATCTTGACAAAAGACATATACGAAAACCTTTGTGAATTTGCTAACAATTCTAATTATCCATCTGTATTATTCCTTCTTTAACCCATATATTGCCAGTTACTCTAAGTTATTAGAATCTCACAAAACAATTACCATGTTTACTTCTAAGAAGTGCATATAACTATTAGAGAACAGTCTTCTACTATGAAATTTGGTAAATTTATAAAAATTAAAATCTAGACCTGCTAAAGTACCACAGCAATTATCATAATGCTGGGAACATAATAGGCATTTAATAAATGTCTAATTCAATTAAATAAACACTTATCAAGCACTTAGTATGTGTGGCACACTGTTCTAGGACTAAGGATACAAAGATGAAAATACTATCCCTACACTCTAATGAGTGGTTAAAGCTTAGACACAAATAATTATAACACAAATGAGAATGGGATGAACATACAGCAAAGGCTATCAGAGGGATTCATAGAAGATGTGGCTGCTACAACAGATCTTAAAGGAAGGAAAGAATTTCAACAGGAAGAGATGAGGAGGAGGGAATGGCTGTGTGAATGTGTGGAGGCAGAAACAAGACAAGATTAAGAAATGACACTAGTCTAGTTTAGATGGAATACAGAAGACACAATAGGCCGTAGAATAAAATAAAGTTGGAAAGGAAGGAAGAAGCCAGAGCGGATTAGGCCTTGAATGAAAGGATAAGGAGATTCTATTTTATTCAGTAGGCAATGGGAAACCATTACTGAAGGCTTAGGAACAGAAAAACGATGCACTGAGATCCATCCATTAGTGTGATAACTTTGG